TAATTTACATAAGCCTTTATCAATTTTGCTGACTTTTTGTTAACATTTTGTTAATAAAGTTGAGAGTTTAGGATGTAAAATTTCTAAATTTGAAAGTTTAGAATGTAAAGTATTCAAAATTAAAGTTTATAATGCAAAGTAAAAAAGTGGCATACGTTTGAGGTTGTAAAGTAGAGTTAGTCCTCCAATAATGCAGCCTGCACGTATCACAATTCTAACAGTGTCAATTCAACTACTCGAGAACAGAAAGAGAGTTTTCATCCAAGTCTTTCTCATTTTTTCATTTCTATTCCCAATTGTTGGAACTTTTTCTCTTCATCTATGCTACTATATGTTAAGGAAATTTTAATTGAAGGAAATTGTGTAATGACAAGCCTGGCAGCTATGGACCATAGAAATCGTCCCTTTTTGGCTTGTAAATCGGCTTAGACCGGTTGACTGGATTTTAATCTCTGATGCCCATTTTCTTACTGATTTTTCTATTGTTTATTTTCACTGCTAATCTGATTGATATTTGTCGTTTTGTTCGGTTTCGGTGCTGCCCATGTTCGGATTTGATTGAACACCATAGTGCTGCGCAAAGTTTTTTTCTTGTCAATTTTTTTCTTTCAAAATAATATTTTTTTTTATAAGTGAGAGAACTCGAACTTTCATATCTTTCACTTATATTCCTTCCTTTAAATTACCCAAACCATCACTCTTCCCTTCAAAATAACAAGTTACTAATCTGTTAGCATAAAAATTACAGATGATGTTAAATTGGACAAACTAAGAAAATGATAAACAATGTTTCGAGGCTAGAAATGAAGGACTAGAAGATACATTGTTATTAATTTGCACCGTTCTTTATTTTGCTATTTTCGCAAACAATACTAGTGATTGGAATCATAAAAATAAATGAAAATGTGTTGAAAGTGGTAAAAAAGAACCAAGAAATCACAATTAGAATAAAATGATACATTGTCATTAATTTACATAGAACTTTAAGTACGATTACTAATTAATGAAAATTATGTAATCGAAACTAAGGTCCTATTTGATACAGGGACAGACCAAAGCTATATTTCTAAAAACCTCATTCCAATCCAATTTCTAGAAAATTTTAATAAACCTAACAATCCCAAACTTGTTATCAGATTCAAATTTCCAAATATTGAAAACCAATTCTCAGATACCATCTTTTTTTACCAAGTATCTGACCAACAATATCATACTAGGAACATCCTTTCTCAATCAATTAGTCCCTTTTCAAATCATTCATAAAAGGATAATATCCCAACCTCTTGATCCTAAATTTTTTAAACTAACTAATTCTTTTTGCAGAAACATGGCTTCATGATTTCTTCCCAAGGTTTAATCTTCTTGTATTGAGATTTGAGAAAGCCTTTGAGGAAATCTTACCTATGAACCTTGTTTTTGTCCGGCCTTGTCAGGAATATATGTTGATATCTACTAGAGTTTGGGAATAATTTTGATGAATCCTTTCTGGCTATTCCTGAATCATCATCAGATGTGGATATATCCAGGATATCTATAATATTGAATACTACTATTTTTGGGAGGATGTTCCGGTCTACACATTCATATTGATTTACTTGTGTTTATTTATTCTGTATACTAACAATTTATGGCCGATTCTACCACCTATACTAACAATCTAACTAGTGCCAATCCGATGGCGACCACTTCCTAACTCTTATGTAGAGGTGGCAAATCAACCCACTTAATTAAATTTACCCATATCCGCCCATGAATAGATGGGTATGGGTATCTTAAATTTTTGTATATGGGTATAAATGGGTTAATAAATGGGTATTATTGGGTAACCCATCAAACCCAATTAACCCATTTAGAATTCTCTTCCCCCCAAGTCTCTTCTTTTCCCCCACCCATTTTTTTTTCTATTTTTTCATTTTGTCATGATGTTAATTACTTTTGTTTCATTATTATTATTATTACTATTATTATTTGTTGGTTTTATCTTATTATTTTATTTTCTCTTAGTTTGTTAACTTACTCATTTTTCAGCATTATTAATTTATAATAAATTTTAGCCTATTTTCTTATCTTTCTAAAATGAAATTTTAAATTTATATATGAAAAAAATGTTAGGGTTCAAAATTTTTGGATTAAGTTTTTATATTAATTTTTATAGCACTTAGTTCAAATTTTTATATTCTTATTATTCAATTATTAAATAATAGGTAATTTTGTGACATAGAGTATAAATGAAAAAAAATTGGTAATTAAGTTTATTGAATATTATAAATAAATATTTAAAACTAATGATGGGTACAAAGAGTGGTATAAATTGATAACTTAGTTTGCAAAAATGAATTTAAATGAGTTTACAAAAAGTTAAAATAAATGGGTTATAAATGGATAATTGGGTTACCCAATTCATTTTTTGACTTACCCATTTATACCCATCTAATTAATTGGGTATAAATGAGTTGACTCACTTATACCCATTACCCATTTTACCCAACCCAAACCCGCCCAAGTCACCCATTTTGACACCTCTACTCTTATGCTTTCTATTTAATTTATTTTATTTTCTTTCCTGGTTTAAGGGGTTAACCCCTCGTCCCGTTTGGTATCAGAGCCTGATGGAAAATTGAGGTGATGGCTATCTTTATTTATTTATTATGATGTTGCTAGTGTAATGTAACTCTACAAGTTTAAATCTATCTGATGAGATTGCTTAACTTCGTGATTACTATCCTTTTCTACTTATGATTTTGGTAGTGTAGATCTACAAGTTTATATCTGTCTGATGAGATTGGTTAATTTCGTGATTACTTTCTAATGTATTCAAACTTATTATAGTATTGATAGTATTGATCTATGAATTTAGATCTATTTTATGGACATGGAGCCTGTAATTGCCAGTCTTCAGTCTAGGCAGTAGTACATGGGATTTGGCAGTAAGTCCTGTACGGATGTTGAGGTTCATGTGGTCCGAGATCCAAGACGGTGAAGTGTTCAAAGGATCAGATCTGGTTTCATAGGTTCATAATATGAATATTATAAATTTGTTTGGAAATATAGTCGTCATGCATAGTTAATCTATCTCAAAAGATTAGATCTATTCTTGTAACGTCCTCACTATCCTTATTATAATAGAAATATAGTCATCATACATAGTTAATCTGTTTTAAAAGATTAGATCTATTCTTGTAGCATTTTCACTATCTTTATTATAATCGGTTTAGAAATATTGTTATCCCCCATGGATCCCGAAGGATTCTGTGCCAAAGGGAAGAGGATTATAAGGTTGTTTATTTTAAGGTTATTTGTTTGATTATTTATTTAACTACTTATTTACCTATGTTTGCTTATGGCTTCTTATAAAACAAATTCTAGCCTTCTCAAATTCTCCCTAAACATCAAACCAGTAGATGATCTTCAAACCAGAATTGCTCGGATCAAGCAATCAATCCTTATTCAAAGGAAACTAGAAGACAAACCTCCTGAATTCCAGATAGACAAACAAAAGTTTAGATCTAAATTCTTTGCAAACCACAACCAGTTCAAAAGAAAATAATTTTTTTGACAAACATCACGGAAAAGCCGGAAAATATATACAAAAAGACTTTTATGACTTTTTGAGAAAAACAAAACATCTCAGGTGTTTGCACCAGAACTCGTAGATCCAATCCAAACTATATCAAAACCTGTATCCTCTATGTCAAAAACTATAAACATTCCAACTTCTACACAAAAACTCCTAGATCTATATCAAACAACTCATATACTAGAATTTTCTCATAAACTCTCAGCAGAATGCATGAATACACCGAAATCAACTAATATAAACCCATCAGATTCACCAAACTCTTTTGATCACAAAAATATATCAGAACCGGTAGATCCACTAAACTCAATCCGTGTATCCACACCAAGATCTATAAATCCACAAAAATTCTGAAAAAATAAACTTATAGACTTACCAAATTCTCCCATAGATCTATCAAACCTAGTAGAAATACCAAATCGAGAGTCTATCAGAATTTCAAAACTTCCTAATAGTTTGGAAATAGGAAAAGACATAGGAGATCCCATAGACATAGGAGATCTCGCAATAAATGTCTTAACTAAGACTCAACCCAGTATGAAACCTACAACTGTCAAAAATCTTCAAGCAGAATTACTGAGGATAAAGTCCAACCAATCATTTTCCTTTATTTTTTTTGAAATTCCACTGCAACCATTATTCTCTCTCTCTCTCTCTCTTCAAAAAGTTCATTTAATTCAAAAACATCGTATGACAAGTTCAATGTTCATTTCACATCTCTAGAATCTGATCTTGTCTAACATTAAACAGTACAACGGAGAGTTCAAAGAACCATCTGCAAATTCTCTTTTGAAAAGCTTAACCAAAAGGCACTTTCCAATGAAGAATTACAAAGATTTCTGTATTCATTCTTGTATGATAAATGCTGTGTAGAAATAAACTAGACCCACTGCAAATCATTTTAATTCATCACTAACAACAGCTATTGTCAAAAGGAAACTATAATTGGAGCAACATCTTAGTATAATGATCAATTCATGCTATTGCTGAGAAATTTTTTTTTTCTGATTGGAAAGGGGTAGAGGAGCCAAATACCACATCGTAGCAGATGGACATGGTGGAGCTAAGAAAAAAGAGGATCTATTACCAGACCTACAGATACACAAGCAAAGCTATGATTCAATGTTTTTTGCTCCTCCATTAGTACTTGACTATGTTAAACCACTCAGAATAAAATTATTTTTCAAAACAGAAAACAAATTTTGGAGGTCCCAATGCTTTAATCTGAACTTCATGATACAACTTTGCTAATTGTGATTACACTGGCAAGCACAGTCCTGAGTTAGTAGTTTGCTTAGCTTTTAATGATATCTGCTACTAAAATGTTCTTTATGTACTTTTTTCAGGCAACGTTAAATACTTCTTAAAACACTATTGTTCCAGTTTCTGAGACCCTCTTCACTGCTGCTGCGGATTCAAATGATCCCAGAATCAGCTCAGCACGAGCATATATGTAAAGACATTCTTTTCTAATCCTTTAGTATAATTCCTTTTTTGGTTTTCTTATTTCTAATTTCCCCTACTGGTTCAGTAAGATTTTGTCAGAGTAACACAGGCTCTGTTTCTCTGCTCAGAACAAATTGCTCAGAAATCCATTTCTCTCTTACTTCTTTTTGTTTAGTTTTAGTTCATTTAAGCTTTATAAATTGGATATGAGCAAAGAAATTACTCCTACTTCTGCTATTGCTGCGATTCACTTTGGATTTTTTTTCTTTTTTCTTTTTTTTTTTGCTTCTATTAGGTAATGGAAAATGGAGGAAAATCTCACTGAGTGACTGTTGGACAAAGTCGAGCACAGGTCAAAGTTACCAATTCAGACACCTGCAGAAACGCGCCAAAGCTGAAACTCGAAAAGGTGACTTGCAAAGTTTTAGAATCCAATAATTTCCTTATTTTCCTTTCTTTCTGCAGTTATCTTGTAGTTCTGATAACAGTCAGCATAAACAGCTCCTTCAACTTCAATCTGAGAGAACATGATGCTTGTCTTGCATCTTATTGAGGTCGGAGTGCACTCAAATATTACGGTTTCACAAGCAATTGCCTCTTTGCCAATATCAAGTAGGTAAGTCAAGGTGATTGTGTATATAAATCCAGCTTGGAACAGATGTGGTCATGTTCAATTAGCTTGCAAAACTGTTTTATGGGATTTCTCCTGCTTCTTGTTTTTATGTTCTAGAATCACCAATATGTGGTGACTGCAAAGATTTTTGCTCTTGATTAAGCTTTTCTAATTGAATCTGAGCTTTTTTCTTCTTTTTTTTTCCCTTTTCCCCCCCTTTTGACCATCTTGGTAGATGAGTTTGTTCCTGCTTATCTCTGCCTCTTGGCGGAGTTTGTTATGTGATGTTCTTATAGATAGTTCAAAACTTTGCAACTTGGCCCGTAGCCATCATGTTTTGTCATTTTGATGTGCATGTACAAGCCAAATTGAAAAAATTTCCGATGTTAGCATTATAATGTTTCGTTCATTTCTTGAAAATGAACCATTTAATGCGGTAAGTAACTACTCTTGCTGTGTATGTTTGAGAGAATCTTTCCCAATGTTTTTCTTTGAAATATTTCATGATTTTAGATTATCCATCTAGTTTTTTTTTTTTTTTTTGTCAAACGATTATCCATCTAGTTGATTCACTGAAATGCTGCTGAAAGGTTTTGGAGGTGGAGGCAATGACCAAACTAAAAAAGAAAAGGAAAACAAACTTGATGAATGGATTTATTACCACATTATTTATGACTTGCCCTTTGCTTGGTAAAGTTGCATCTTGAGCAGGTATCTTTGAATCTTAAGGATCAAAATTAGTCTCATATGAAATTAAGATTTTCTTGGTTATGCAGCTCGTCAGTGCATGTGAAACTGTGAGACAGAGAGTGATGATGATGGCGGCCGTTTTCTTTTTTGATACCTGATCTTATATCAGAATCTTGAGTTTCGCATCTTAAGAAAAGAAAAGTTCCAAATAATTTCGGCACTGTTATTTAAGCAGCCATAGTCAATTATTTTGGAAACAGTTCTGTATTTGTAGATTAGCTCTTATAATACTTCAAATGTATCCAGGTACAATATGTTTTTTGTTGCTGATCACGAAGGAGAGAAGGAGTTCCTAGCTTTGAATGTGTAGATCAGGTGCCTTTTTTCTTTTTTTCGAAACGATATTTGATTATATTACTTTCAAACATATGCAAGTGCAAGCAAAGGCTCAAGTTAACTTTACATTCAGTGTGCTTGACACTGAGGAAACGAGAGTTCCTCATCGATTGTGATGCCTAAGGCATAGATGCTAATCCTAGAGATTAGATGATTCTTATCACTATTAGCTAGACAAAAGGAACACATATGAAACAGCCCTTTCAATTGGCCAATATCTTCCACCAACATAGCTATTCTAATATCACTTGCCTTCTGTGCTCGAATGTGGTTGAGGAGTTGCTTGTTTTGCACTTGGAATTCCACTTTCCTTTGTTGCAAGGTGGTAGCTTTGCTCATGGCCAGCTTTAGTGCCACTGCCTCGTGAACCAGGAAAGATGGAACAAATTTTAGGTACTTGCAAATTGCTATTACAAGTGATGCCCAGAAATTGAAACTTGCTCTGAACCATGTCATTATCACGGTCAACAACCCACTCTAAGTTTGAACGAGTCGTTTCTTAACACTTCAGGGTGAACTCCATTACCTTTAGCTATAAGTTGCTGGTGTAGCCGGTTGTGTAACTCCTGCTGTTCTAAAAATAGCTAGGGAAGTACTTTGTGCAGCATCTGCTCTCTCTCTCTCTGACTCTGCAATTCTTTTCAACAAATGTTCTGGTCATTGGGCGTGTCTGCAGTTTTTTCCTTGTGCCATTTGATATTGGTAAGAAATTCTGAGAAAGCCAGCAATACATGTTTTGCTTGCTTGACCATCTGCTAAACTAGCATCCCAAAAAGTTTGTGCATGTCTAATTCTTTTCTCTATTGCTTAGACTGCTGAAAGTAATGTATTCAGGTTGTCCACTAATTTTAAATTAGTCCTTAATGGAGGTTTTAGTTCATTAAAGATGCTCAACAAATGAACTCCATTTGTGAAGTCTATATATGTATTATCTGTTCTTTCCACGAATACTGCCCTTAGACTTGAAGACATTTGGAAGCATCTGAAGGATTAGTTGTATCTGATGGTGATGAAACCTAGGTGAACATGGTACAATTAACTATTAGCTTTGTGATTACCAAATATTTTTGCAATTTTGCCCAATATAAGGTTGTATAGAACACTTTATTTTTGCTCTGTTGCTTTGCTTTTCTTTTGTTCCATTTGCCTTGCGAAGTTGAGAAAGGGCATTTACAAAAATCTATATTCCTTTATGCAGGTACTCCAAGAAAGAACATCTGACATTTCAAGAGACATAGGAACAATCCTAAGCTGTCTTAGCAGGTTCAGTATCTTTCTCTACTAGAAACTTTATGCTTTTAAATTCATGTATGAATATCAAATTCTATTTTTTTCTCTTCCTTCTAGGTTCTTAATTTAAAGCACCTAAGAAGCAGTATACCATACAGAAGATTGCAGGAAAACCAAAAGAAATTGACAAACTATTGGAGCATGCATTGATGACGTGATCATCTTCTTGGATGGCTGGCCTGCATCAAATGCCTCAGTGAAGCAAGGTTTGTGGCTGAAACCATCCGATCTCTAGTGTTATCTCGCTCATCAGAGGCTTAGCATGAGCTGTTTAACCTACATTCTTTTGCCTTTTTTTTTGGTGGATCTGCTTCTTGACAGAGAAGCCTGGATTCCAATGTTGTAGCTCACCAGTCTGCCATCGTTATGAATGTTTGCTCATATATTTTCCTTTTGCACTATCTACAAGTGTCCATTGCTCTTCATGAAGACCATCTCAATTACATCAGGAAGACATTAGACAGCAATAGAAATTGCATTTGGTCCCTTTGTATCCGCAGTTGACAATTCAGGAATAAGTTTCATTGCCATGGTTGCTGGTTCCCAAGTTTGTTCCTGTTGATTCAATTTTTTTGTCAGCTTGGCAAAGTTTTGAATTAGACTTATCAGTTATATACATTGGTAGGTGTTAAGAGAATATAAGTTTCTTGTAGATAATAAATTAGTAAGGGTATTCTTGTAAATAGTTTGTTAGGTTTGTACTCCTATAAATACTAGTTGGTCACTCATAATACGGTGATTAGATGTTTTCCTCCCAAGATACCTGTTAACATGGTATCAGAGTAAAAGTCCTAGGGTTAGGGTTAAATATCTAGTCAAAAGTACTGTTCAGCCGCACTATTCATCGCGACACTGTTCACGCATTACTGTTCACGGCGCAAGTACTGTTCACGCCGTTACTGTTCACGGCGTACTGTTCACACGTCACTGTCATTTCGAGTTTTGACCCTGTCTTTGGTTTGACGTGCTATTTGTCATGGTTGAAAGGTTTGTTAATGCGGTTACCACTGACCAAATTGAATCGAGTTTTTCAGCACATGGGTCCCAGAAGACTGTTACTATATCTGAGGAAGATTATGTTAAATTCCTACAGTACCAAGCTGCAAATCACGCATCTCTTCCCTCTGCTTCTTTAGCACAAAAAGGTAATGACTCATGGATTATTGATTTCGGGGCTACTGATCATATGTCAGATACCTCTAAAATTTTTTCTAATTTTCAAGAGTCTACTCCCTTTCCTCATGTTACTTTAGCTGATGGATCTACCACTAAAGTTAAAAAACTAAGCACTGTAGAAATTAATCCATCACTTCCGCTGTCTTCTGTTCTTTACGTACCCAATTTGCCCTTTAATCTAATGTCTGTTAGTAACTTCACTAATTTTTTACAGTGTACAGTTATTTTTTCTCCTGATTCTGTTGTCATTCAAGATTTGAAGACAAAGAGGACGATTGGTGGAGGGCATGAGCATAATGGTCTTTACTTTCTCAACTTCAATGGTCCGATAGCATGTCCTGCTACTGTTTCTCCTCTTGAAATTCACTGTCGTTTAGGTCACCCGTCTTTACAAAATTTGAAAAAGTTTACTTTGAGTCAATTATCTTCGTTAGAATGTGAGTCTTGTCAGTTAGGAAAGCATCATCATGTTTCTTTTGCTCCTAGAGTCAATAAACGGGTTTCTGAACCCTTTTTGTTAGTTCATTCTGATGTTTGGGGTCCTAGTCGAGTCACTTCAAAGTTAGGTTTTAAATATTTTGTAGTCTTTGTTGATGATTTTTCCAGATTTACATGGCTTTATTTAATGAAAGATCGTTCAGAATTATATTCCATTTTTTGTGCATTTGTTACAGAAATAAAGAATCAATTTGGTGTGCCTGTACGTATACTTTGCAGTGATAATGCGAAAGAATATTTTTTCACTCCTTTTAATACCTTTATGACTAAGTCTGGTATTATTCATCAGTCCTTTTGTCCTCACACTCCACAACAGAATGGAGTTGTTGAAAGAAAAATTGGACATCTAATCGAAATTGCTCGAACACTGTTGTTGCACATGAATGTGCCCAAATAATTTTGGAGTGATGCAGTTCTAACTGCATGTTATTTAATTAATCGCATGTCATCTAATATTCTTGGAAGTCAATTACCTCACTCCATTCTTTTTCCTCATGAACCTGTGTTTAAATTACCTCATCGTATTTTTGGATGTGTGTGCTTTGTTCATCAGCTTGCTCCTGGGATGGATAAATTATATTCTCGTGCTATTAAGTGTATTTTCTTAGGATACGCACGAGCGCAAAAAGGGTATAGGTGTTACAGTCCAGTTTTAAATCGATTTTTTACTTGTGTTGATGTTACTTTCTTTGAATCCACTCCATATTTTATCAAACAAAGTATGTCTTGTGAGTTAGACCAGTGTCCCTCTTTTTCCTCTCCTGTTTTACCAGTCCCTTCCCCTTTATTACCTGAGTTATCTAGTCCACCAGATTCCAAAACTCGATTATCTCGTTCTCATCTTCAAGTTTACTCTCGTCGTTCCATGGTTGAGAAAGTTCCTGATATGCTACGCACTTCACCAATTAACTCTCAATCTTCAAATCCAGGTATGACGCCCTCCTCTGAGTTAGATCTTCCTATTGCTTTACGCAAAGGTAAGAGACATTGTACTTCCCATCTTATTTCTAATTTTGTTTCTTATTCTCGTCTCTCTATGTCATATTCTTTTTTGTTGCTTCCCTTGATTCTATCTCCATTCCTAAGTCTATTACCTATGCTCTTAATCATCCTGGTTAGAGATTAGTTATGCAAGAAGAGATGTCTGCTTTGGAACAAAATGGTACTTGGGATCTTGTCCCTCGTCCTTCAGGTAAGCCTGTTGTTGGTTGTAAATGGGTGTACACTATAAAAGTGCAGCCTAATGGTTCTATTGATAGATTGAAGGCTCGTCTGGTAGCTAGAGGATTTACTCAGGTGTATGGAGTAGACTATTTAGAAACATTTTCTCCTGTTGCAAAGATTATCTCTGTTCGTCTTCTTATCTCTTTGGCAGCAACTTATAATTGGTCATTGCATCAGTTGGATGTGAAAAATGCATTTCTGCATGGAGATTTGGAATAAGAGGTATATATAGAACAACCTCCTGGATTTGTTGTTCATGGGGAGAATCCGCGGTTGGTTTGTCGTTTGAAAAAATCCTTATATGGATTGAAACAGTCTTCGAGGACTTGGTTTGGCCGGTTTAGTAGTGTTGTCATGGAGTTCGGTCTGACAAGATGTGGAATAGATCACTCTGTATTTTATTGGCATTCTAATGCTGGTAAAATTTTATTAGTTGTTTATGTGGATGACATTGTGATTACAGGTGATGATGTTGTGGGGATCCAGAAATTTAAATCCAATCTACAGGCAAACTTTCAGACAAAAGATTTAGGTCATCTACAGTATTTTTTGGGTATTGAGGTAGCTCGGTCTAAATATGAAATTTATTTATGTCAAAAAAATATGTACTCGATATGTTGAATGAAATTGGGATGTTAGGTTGCCGACCTGTGGATACTCCTATGGATCCCAATATGAAATTAGTAGGAGATCAAGGTGCATTACTTAATGATCCTAAGCAATATCGAAAACTTGTGGATAATTAAATTATTTCACTGTAACGAGACCTGACATTTCGTTTGCAGTGAGTGTTGTGAGTCAATTTCTTGATACCCCTCGTACTAGTCATTGGGATGCTGTTATACGGATTCTCAGGTATCTTAAGAGTGCTCCTGGAAAAGGGTTGCTGTATCAAAATCATGGACACTCTGATAATGAAGGATATAGTGATGCAGATTGGGCTGGTTCTGCCTCAGATCGAAGATCGACTACAGGATATTGTGTGTTTGTTGGTGGTAATTTAGTGTCGTGGAAGAGTAAGAAGCAAACAGTTGTATCCAGATTAAGTGCAGAATATGAATACCGCGCTATGGCTCACACTGTGTGAGTTGGTTTGGTTGAAGAGCATGTTACTGGAACTTGAGTTTGAGCATAAACAGCCTATGAATTTAGTGTGTGATAATCAGGCGGCTGTTTATATTGCGTCTAATCCAGTGTTTCATGAAAGGACAAAACATATTGAAGTTGATTGTCATTTCATTCGAGAGAAATTGCTTGACGGGGTCATCAAGACATCTCATGTACCATCTGTATGTGTTTACCAAGAGTTTAGGGGGATTTAGGGTGAAATACATTTGTAACAAGTTGGGTGCTTATGATATATATGCTCCAACTTGAGGGGGGTGTTAAGAGAATATAAGTATTCTTGTAGATAATAAATTAGTAAGGGTATTCTTGTAAATAGTTTGTTAGGTTTGTACTCCTATAAATACTAGTTTGTCACTCATAATATGGTTAATAGATGTTTTCCTCCCAAGATACCTGTTAACAGTAGGAAACTAGTACTATGGAAGTTCAACGACTCTCAAAATATGTCTCATTTCTCATCATGATTCCAAACTTTGTTGTTTGGTTATTTCATTTCTCATCATTTTCTGAAGAAAACCTTATGACCTTTGTGTACGCTTTGGCAAACAAAGTTACTAACAAGTGCGGAGTCTACATATAACAATTAGTTGATCCACAGTCAAGTTTTACATTTATAAAATCTTAAATATTCCACATGCAATTTTTCGCAAGTATGCGAGTCGCTTATTAAGCATAAGGGTATTAAGTGTCGATCCCATAGGAAAGATTATCAACTACTGATGATTTTCGAACTTCTTTATTATTTAGATTATCACAAATACAAAAGATTAAATCTACATTACAAATATGAAATAAAAGTAATAAAATAATAATAGAAACCTTCTAGAGGTACGGAATTCCTAACTATTTTTGTAAATGAAATTACTGGTTAATTGAATACTATTGTCTTGGCTAGTTATGGTATAATTTCCTAATACGTGATACTCTTGTAAATGAAATTACAGGTTAATCAAATACTATTATATGGGTTAGTTATGACGTAAGTTCCTAATATACATGATGCCCGTTTTTGCCGGTATATCAACAATACCTATAGTTAATTCATACCTACTTTCGTGGTTATGAAACTAACTACAAATTCATTTCTTCTATAAAATTACATGAAACAAGTCACTAAAACCACAAACATGCCATATGTATACACATACAAACAATTATTATCCTCGCTTGTATTGATATATTTTTTCTATTTAATCTTGCTTATCCTCCTTTACATTTATTTACCTTCCAATATTAATCTTATATTTTCAAAATTATAACATCTAAAATATATTTTAACGATTGCTCATTAGACAAACCGTTTTTTTAGAAGGAAAATTATTTCAATGACATTTTATTGCTATAATAAGTTAATAAAATCCAGAAGTTCTCCAAACACCAATGTATTACTCCAAATCAAATTTGTTAAGCTCTAATTCAGTTCTAGCAAGTCAACCTTAAGTAATTACCGAATTGAGCTCTTCCTAATGGCTGACATGTAGAAGCTCAATTTCGTAATTATGCGTTGCCAGTATGAGACTCCAAGAACCACATCACTTGGTGTAATTGGGGTTGCATGGCAATTAGTTGATTTCGAATCTCACATTGATCTATCATACCAAGAAATTTTCTTCTAAATATACCAAGAAATCTCATATCACTTGGTGTAGAAGCTCAATTTTCTTCTAAATTTTCGTAATTTTCTGTTACCGAACACTATCTGGACCATTAAAACATTAAAGCTTCTTGTCGTTTCTCCAAATATCGGACGTGGTTTCGAATTTCCCATCGACAATCTTGAAGGCTTTGCAGACTTGGAAACTTTATCTCTTGCAATCGTTCCCTCTTCGCAAAGCTGGAAAAAGATACTCTCAAAGTTTCCTAGCATCCGCAGGCTAACATGCATATGAGTTGAAGAGAGAGCATCTGCAGGAAATCATGATGGGGATTAGATTCTCGTGCTGGACTACTTGAGTCGATTAGAATCACTTAGGATGAGGAATTTTGCTGGATCTGAGTTTAAATTCCCATTGAATTTGAGAAAGTTGACGCTCTCAGGTAATCGTCAGCCATGGAGTAAAATTTCAGCGATTGGAAAGCTGCCCAACGTTGAAGTGCTCAAATTATGCTATGATTCCATTGTGGGGGAAAAGTGGGAAATGGAAGAAGGGAAGTTCGGTAACCTTGGACATTCGCTGCTGGGAAGCCTCTTCTGATAATTTTTGCAGCCTTGAGAAATTGGCTTTGCATGAATACCATTGGCTGGAAGAGGTCCCTTCTTGTTTAGGGGAAATCCTCACTCTTGACATGATTGAGGTAAAACGATGTCTTGAGTCTGCTGTAAATTCTGTGAAACAAATTCAGCAAGAACAGATGGATATGGGAAATAAGGGTCTAAAGATCGTTATTGTTAGATGAGAAAATGGTTAATGGTCCACGGTTTTTTAGTAATCTGTCAATTCAGAAGGAGAGTTTCTCGCATCGCTTTTTTGCAACAGGGAAGCTTTCAGGTATCTTCTTGAGTTGGCAGAGAGTCAAAGCAGAGAAGAATTTATTCATTAGGTTTAGATCTACTATCACAGTACTAATTGTATATGTTGAATCAGTTCAATGATATAATTATTAATGTTTCGCAAAGCAAATTCTGGAGGTTCCCAAATTTTTTATTTGAATAGTCATGCATTTATGAAATCAGAACTACTTATCTATCAGATATTTTTGTAAAGCGTTCTCCGCATTCCTCTTTTTTTTTTTTTTCTTTTTGGGTTCATGTTTGATATAAATTGTCCCAATTTCTCAAACCTTCTTCAATATGGATACATAAAATCCTCAAGACCAGATGAGTGCAAGCATAATTGCCAGGTACACATTTTTATGACTTTTATACATATAAGCTTAAGTAATGCAGAATAAATTTCTTTCTTGAAGCAAATAGCTGAATGACCTGAGACTTTTTTCTTTTCCTTTTTATTTTAAAATGCAAAGAACAACCTTGTTCTGTAGAATATGTGCATATGGGTCAATGACAGTTTGGCGAACATGAGAATATGTTTTTTCAGTTTTTTTCTTTATCGATTATTTACATTCTAGATATATGAGTTTGTTCCCGCTTATGTCTGCTTTAACCAGAGGTTTTGGTGTGTCATGTTCTTGTAGTATGTTCTAAAGTATGTGAATTAGTTGTGCTTTAGACTTGGCCATTACCCATTTTCTTTTGACACGTAGATACGCATAAAGAAGCCAAAATCAGGAAAAAAAAAATTAAGATGCTGATACAATATGTTCTTTATTTCATGAAGATGAACCCTGTTAGATGGTTCTAGTAAATGTACATCCTTAATAATAATTTGATTGAAGAGATTTTTCATGGAGGAAATAAGGAACGGAATTAAAATTTGATGAAAGAACTTATTACGAGATAAAAATATTTAGACTGTTACAATGTTCTTCATCCGATTTAGTATGCATTCTGACTTTCCAGTTGCAATTAGTTGGTAAATTTGCATATTGAGCAGGTGGCTTTGAATCTATCAAAGTTTGTCTGATTTAGAATCAATATATTTGACTTGTGCAGTTTCAGTGTGTGTTTTGTGTGTGTGTGGGAGACAGATGATGACCATTTTAAGCTGTTTTGACAAATCATGCAAACAGATTTCAAGTTTCAACAATCAAAAGGAAAAACATTTGATTTAATTTCTGCACTTTAATTTAAGCAAATCTTTTGTGTTTTAACCTAGGAACGATTTTGTTGCATTTTTGTGAGAATAAGCTTCATCAGTGCTTCAAATTTATCCAGCTTCAATATTTGTTGGTTGCAGATCAAAGAGGGAAAAGAAGTTGTTTCAAGAATTGTAGATCAACTTCCAGCCAGTGGAAAATGGAAACGAGCAGAAAGCAGGAATGCCAATTGAATGAATATCCTGAAAATGTTGACAGATGAATTCAGGGAAGAGAAAACAGGCTCTAGCTCTCTGCAGGTAGCCATCACTAATGATGCCTGAAAGTGAAACAAGCGTTTAACGATGCCATGATGCCACTATCGCAATTCTGCATTGGTGCACTGGTAAGTTTGTACAAGTTTTCTAACACTTCAGAAGTTGGACTACATCCTTGATTATAAGTTGCTGGGTAACTGGCAGTGCAATATCCATGTAACTTCTGCTCTTCTAGGAATGGCTATGAAAGATATTTGTGCAGGTTTTTTTGTTTTCACTCTCTCATCTTTTGGCTGTGGGAAAGGAGGGAGGGAGAGGGGATACAAGGGGCTGTAGAAAGGAAAGTTATCTGGAAGATAGCCAGATTGTCGTTGTCTGTATAAGAAGCTGATGCTCAATGCTGTCACATTTTGTGTCTTGCACCATTTGATATTCATCCAAAATAGTCGAAGGGCCGTATAGTTTGTTGCTAAACTGGCACAGCCAAAATGGTTTTTTTTCATGTCTAATTATTAATCTTTATTCCACAAAATTGGAAAGAAGATGATGAAAGCCATCTGTTCAGGTAGTTCTTCATGTTTCCATTAGCCTATAATCTGGAATTTACTTTACCTATTTGGTGTTTTGTAGTCAATATATGTTCTCTCTGTTCTTTCCGAATTTCCGCATAGTCCTTTATGCAGGTCATCCAATAAAGAGCATCAAACATATATTGGAATTATACTTGAAGCTTTTTGCCTGTAATTGTCAGGTATAGATGCTACAATTCTCTATCTTTTTCTTCTACTAGTTTCTTTCATTAATTCATGTACCTAATGCAGCAGACTACTATATAGAAGGACAACCAAAAGAAATTCACAAACTACTGGAGCATGCGTGGACTAGTTGATAGTCTTTTGCATTACTGGCCTGCAGCGAATGTCTCAACTGGAAGTATTTATGATGCTGGCAAGGTTGTTCCACTAAATGGATCATCTAGTGTTATCTCACTTACTGGAGACTTTGCATGAGCTACCTAACCTTCGTGCTGTTTTTTTTTTTTTTTTTTTTTTTGAGCTTTTTCTTCAGAGAGAATCCTTTGATTCCTGCATTTTATCTTACAGTTGTGTTCCTTCACTTGCAATATCCACAAGTAGTCATTACTCCTCAATGATGAAGCCTACACTTTAATTGCATCAGGAAGGGGAAGAAGTCTTGCAGTAAAATTTCATTTGCTCTTAATCAAGTGGAAATAACTGTAAGTAAATTTGTAAGTAAGTGAAAGATGTTACCGCAAGTTTTTTCTCGATAGGAAAAACCATGCCCCAAATTGAATTGGATACATGTATCTCTAGATATTGTTTATGTTAAATAGGTTGCAGACGAAAGGGACCCCTGCTTGAATTGAAGAAAAGTCTGATGGCAGCCAGAAATCATGAAAAATATCCCTCTCATTTCAATCTCTACTGTTTAGTTTGACCCCTCTGCTCATTTGATTGGAGTTTTCATTTTGTTCATTTCGGGGCTCCCACAGATCTTAGATTAGCTAAATATTTTGACAGCATTTAGTGCAGATTATTTATCCTATTGCAATGAACCGCGGATTATACTTTTCGAATTGCAGACACATCGGACTAGGTTTTTTACCAACCAAAAACAGAGACAGGAAAACTGATATTTGTTTTGAATTTGTGATTATTGCAAATTACAAAGCCTTGAGGCCCTCATCTATATGCAAACTTTATGGATAGTACTTTTGGTCGTGGCCAGCTTGATATGATTTTGCCTTTCAGTTCATTTGATGTATAAAAAATTTGGCACTCTCGTTACCTTGTAACTAAAACTAGAATATTTTATTAACGGAGGGTGGCACTTTTTTTTTTTAGATGCAACTGAATTTATTTATATCGAAAAAGATTACAGCGAGTTAGAGGGAGGCCAAACCTGACCTTTGTGAAGTAAAAAAAAAAAGGAAGACAACTATGGATCAAATATATGGAAAAATCTACGATTCAAACACATAACAGATCAATCGAACGAAATCAACGGAGGATGGCACTTGGTTACTTTATAATTAATGGGATTGGAATATTTTCCTTAACAGAAAGTGACTGCCATTTTATTAGTTTCACATAGACTCAATGATTATAAGAAACAAGTTTAACATTTTCTAGTGCAAAATATCCCAAACTTTAATTCAGGGACAAATTGAGAATGGTGACATGTGTCAAAGATGCAAAATGAAATAAACCCTCAAGGTTAAGAATGGCAGGCAGTATACGAGACCTATTCGTATTCAGTTTCAAGTAACAATTCTGAGCAACGTGAAATCCTTGGAGTATAACATAAGGATTCAATTCTATTCTTAAGTAAAAGATGTCCGTTACCCTTAGTTTGGTACACGTAATGGTTAGGATAGAAAGGTCTTTCCACCCGAAATACCTTTTCGCCTAGAATGATAGGGATACATATTTGTCATTCTAGTATCTGGTAAACAAATTAAAATGAAATATTCATTTATTTTCTAGTTTTTGATATAATCCATGTTTAGATGTCAGAATGGAATACAATTAATTAATAAAATTTGACTTAATTGCTTTTGATTAGTTCATAGGACATAACATATTTCATTTGTTCTACTACGTTATTTGTTTGATTACGTGGAATCTTGACATTTTTTGCCCTCAAAATAATTGATGATTGATATTTAAAAATTTTCAATTTGAATATTTAATTCATTCTAACATGTAGATTTTTATGTTAAAATTTTACATCAGCTAGCAATATAATTAATTATTAGCAATGTAAAATATAAATTACATGAAGCCGAACAAATATAATATATTTTTAAATTTTATTATGTTTTCATTGTTTATATTTGTTTTGCTACTAAAAAAGAAAATTTTTATTTTAAAGAAAAGAAAATTTGTATTTAATTACCAATTGAGCTCACAAATATTCTAAGATATGGTGATGGGGTAAAAAGGTCAACCACTAAAACATATTTGTTGTGAAATTGTCCCCATTGCAAACTACAAAGGCATTAGGTCCTCAGCTGAATGCATCTCAAATTTCTACTCATTTGTTCATCAAAATATCTAAGATTGATTAACTCACTATGCAGCATAATTTTATAGTTAGTCAACAGTTCACACGAAATATCTACAACGTTGCGTTATGCTTTAAGATTCATTATGAGAAGAAACAAATTAAAGTGACCAGTATTTGCAGTTCATAATCTTTTACCCGTTTTTGATCCTTAGGCCGGCATCTTCCTTTGATAAAGTTTCAAATGGAAGAAGATTAAGTCTTGCGATATTTATTATTATCATGCCCCACCACACATGCTGAAAAGGGCAAAAATAGTATCTTGCCGGCAATGTGTACGCAAAAAAAAGAGAGTTTTGATGGCAATGTGTTGATGTTGTTAGATCATACAAAGAAAGTTGTAAAAATTTAAATTTGGAATATAAACTTTTCTAATGCGCACGAGCACTCAGTACACCCCCAATTTACATCTAACTTGTCATTTAAATACACACAATCACAACCATGATGTCATTTACATTTCGATATTTTTTTAAATTAATTATACTTTAACGAGTGTCCATTAAGTACCAATTCATCAAATCATATATTTTTTTGGTGAAAAATCTATCTTTTTTTCGTCTTACTTTATTACTATTGATATACAATTTTGGTCTAATTTCTAAAGGAAAATACAATACCAAGGGTGATACGAACAAGAGGAGCCACTGGAGCCATGATACCAACCCTTGTTCGTGTCATTCATTTCCATCCAGATTTGAGGACAAATCCTGCTCAAGTGGAGGGGACTGATGTGTGCATGGACCTTAGCCCAAGTAATGACCCAGTCCGAGTTCTATTGGGCCCAGTCACACGTGCACGAGCCAAGCTCTTCAAAGAATCCCTCCAAGCCCTTGTTCGAATTGTCCAAAACCAACATGGAGTCCATAGAGATATTGAAGGCTTGAAGGATTTTAATTGAGTTATCTACACCATGACCCAAGCCCATGAAGAGTCAAGTGGGCCTCCAAATGAGTTGGCCGAATAGGGCCTTAGGCCTTAGTAGTTATTTAGCAATTGATTAGTGTTTAAGTAAGAGCATGGGCCGGCCCATCTTGTCCCAAGACCATGGGCCGACTTTTCCCTTTCCTAGTCCCTTTAGGGTTCAGTCACTTTAGCCTATAAATAGGCTTGCTTTGTAAGGTTTTAGGTAGACGTTTTATCAATAAAGTTTTGCATATTTTCGATTCTTCTTGAGAGAGAGATTCGACCCCTTTACTTGCTTTGGCAAGGGTTTTGAGCAGTCTTGCGTCCTGTCCTAGATTGTTCTACCGACCTATTCCCCTGGAGTATTCACCTTCATCGGAGTGTCGTCTACCGTCTTGAATCAAATCGTGTCGTCCGTTTGGTTCTAGATCCCGCAATTCCAAGCGTTGGACGTCCTCGCTAGATCCTTGGGCAAACGTGCTACGTGTCTCGAAACGTGTTGAATAATTTTCCTAAACTCTCTCATCCATTTTTAGGAAATTTTCCTAAACTCTCTCATCCATTTTTTTGGAAACTTTCCTAAATTCTCTCATCCATTTTTTGGAAACTCACCTAAAATTCTCTCATCCATTTTAGGACCTTCCTATATTCTCTCATCCACTTTAGGAAACTCTCCTATATTCTCTCATCCACTTTAGGAAACTCTCCTATATTCTCTTCCTAGATTTTAGGAACACTCTCCTACACTTTCTCCTATATTTTCTCCTAGTTTTTAGGAATACTTCCCTACACTTTTCTCCTACATCTCCGTCGATACTCTTGAGGAAGAAGTTGGTGACATATTTATTGGACTTGAGCGGCCTTTCTCAACTACCTAAACCCAACAGGTAAAGGTATTTGGTAAGTCCCATTGGAGTGAGTAATTGTGAGTGATACACGAGTTGTCGAGAGAAAACACGTAAGGGAGCGTGAAAAACAATATCTTCGGTTTTTTACTAATACTTCTTTTGCAGGTTCCCTCATACATTTATGGCGAGTACAAGACGTATAAAAGTTAGCTCACCACATTGGCTTCCTGATCCTAAGGGAGTCAAAGAAGTGGCATTACGTGGTGTAGATGAGCAATTGGACATCGTCAAATCTCAGTTGCTTGGTTGGTTTATACTCGTTGTGGTGTCAAAGATAAAATCTGTAGCTTGGCCATTGATGGGAGTTGTGAAGTCAACCTTGCAAGTGCTATCATGGTTGAGAAATTAAATCTTCCAACCATTGATCATCTTCAACCATACAAGTTGACGAGCACTCATGGTAATTTTGGGTTACTAAGTACACACTTGTACCTATTCAAATCGGCAAATATGTGGATGAGGTGTTGTGTGATGTAGTCCAATTCAAGTGACACATGTGTTGTTGGGCAAAGCATGGATGTCGAGGCGAGAAATTAAATATGACGACATACTAATAAGTATTCCTTCTTATTTAATAGTCGTCGTCTTGCACTTGTATCACTTACTTATGACCAACTTTGTATTGATCTAGCATGCATGAAAAGTGAGCTGAGCGTTATAGAATGGAGAAAAAGCTAGATGAGGGAATTGTGCCTGAAGAGGTAAAACCCGAGGGAGTTGGAAGTAATGAGATGAAAGGGTCAGCTGTTGAACAAGAAAAAGAGATGGAAAAATCTAATGAGATGGTGGTAAAAAGGAAGAAAGGAGAGAAAGTGGGCTGATCTTGAGCAACCCGGTGAAGGCCCATTATTTTCCTAACGAACTTACCTTCGCTTTGTTTAGTGTTTCTACTTTTATACAGATCAAGCAAAGGCAAGTTGAGTTGATCTTGGTGTGTTCCATCTCAAATCAATTGTAGACTTTGCAAGCCTCCATGAAGTTGGCACTCCAAGAGTTAAACCCGTTGGTATCCATTCATGGAACAATATCAACTCAAATCAGTCCACACCAAAGGGGAGTTGATTCGAGCTCGTCTTGAAGGGAACACTCCACATTTTGGGGATCGTTGTGTACCAAGGGTTCGTTTAAAGAACAAGTACCTCAATGACCATTATGATTTTCGTCTTGCTCTTAGTCCACATGAAGCTCCAACATCACCAAATCCGCCTTGGTGCCTTGCAAGTGTGTTCGAGCCGGAGTTCGATTTCATGGGATACACTTCATACCACTTTGAGGACCCTTACCTCATGACCACAAACGATCAAGTTGAGCATACATTGAAGATGGTTTGTG